GTAATAAGTCGTGGATAATTTCTTAGGGATTCCAAATCCCTGATAACTAGTATAGATGCAGAGAGGTTCTTTTACCCCTTAATTAATGGTTAAGCTTGTTTTACACTAGATCTTGATACTGTATCTCCCCACTGGACCACAACCACAGTCTTGCTGGGGCCCATTATGTCCTGACATCGCGTACTGCTCTGAAGTGATCAGGAGCATCAATTTGCTCAGTGCTTTTCTGTGTATGATGCACAGCCTAGCACAGTGGGCAATGCCTCGTTTGCACCACTGGAGTTCTGCTGGTAATTTAATTAAAATTGCCACATCCCTCACATGTGCTCTCACTAGTTTGGTCTCTGCACATCAAAACTCTGAATTTATGCTAGTCAAGTTTTATCGTCTCCCCAAATAACCCAAGTCATGTAGTGACATCTGGCTGCATCTTGGTCACATAATGTAGACATCATGAGCTGCTCTTTGATTAAGAGAGCAGTGTGTGCTACAGGTTGCCACAGGCTGCCAAAAACAAAAAGCAGTTATGGAAACTGCATGTACACAACACCTATGTGATGTCCCACACCTACTGCTATTATTCATACTGGAGATCATCGGGAGAGACATTAATGGCTCAAACATTTGGCCACTTGCAGAGGCAGCAGGGTGCTGTGCTGGGGCAAGGATTGCACCCACCAAGGGGAGGAGATGAGGCTTGGGGTATGTGGTGGCAAAACCTCTGATCCAAATTAGATAGAGGGGGAGAACACCCACGACCAGAGATTCTGGAGTTTGAGCCAGATAAGATAGAAGGTCGATAAAAAGCAGGCTCTGCAAAGGGGAGATGTTTCAGGTGTTTTTTATCATGCCAGTTGTCCTCCCTTACACTTCTGACTTAGATGTAAAACCCCCCACCTTGGGGAAGGTCACATTCCCACGTAGGCCTGAAGGTATTTATCCCTTCTGGTGGAGCATAACTGGCTCAGCTACATGAGATGCAGCTGTCCTATCTTGGAAGGTGTCATAAACTATCAAAGATCCCCCAAAGCACCCCCAGACTCATTCCCTAGTCCTTCCACTGAAGGACTCCATGTCATCCACAGTGTTGCAGCAGAGCCTGAGGGTGCTGCAGAAGACAGGGTAAAACTGAGTGCTGGCAGCAGTAAAACAGGTAAAGCTTGCAGCACTGGTGAGAGCTAAAATGCACATTGGTTCAGCAGGAATTTCATGGAGCTGCAGTGTCTTCTCATATTGTTGAGACCATTGACCAGGCTTCTTCACACTACTCCATAAATTACATGTCTTGAATGTGATCCTAAGGGAATATCCCAGGTACGTCTGGTGCCTCTATCTTACCGCTCATTTAAGCAAACCAGCATCTATGTTACAAGTTTTCTTGAGGGCTTGCCTTTAGGAAGGCAAGAATGGCAGTGTAATGTAGTGCACGGACCAGCACATTGACTCCTAGCAACCTTTACCAGAACATGGCCAGGAACTTCCAAGATTTGCTGAGAACTTTGAAAAAAAAAAAAAAAAGGTGATAACTTCTCAGAGATTTCACTGCCATTGCCTCTAGTTGTGCAAGTAAGTGAATAAGAGAACTACTGTAGGCTAGGAATTTCCAGGATGATACATTTCATGATGCAATCATTGCCTATTGCATTTGCTGTGTGTTATTTCTGTCTAAGATTCTCACCTTTTCACTGGTAATTAAATATCCCAGTAGAGGGAAAAGGAGCAAGTTCTGAACTTGTAAGTTGTTTTCAGACAGTGAGCAACAGCAGAGTCTCTGTAAACACAACATACTGGCATCTGTCTCCTGTTTTCTCATCTAAGCACAGGCCATGAACAAAGTGACTTCTTTAAAGCTGGCTTGGAAAAAAGGAAGCCTGGGCTCTGTACTTTGTCATAATTTTTAATATTTCCTTAGAACAAAAGGAGCATAAGGCTAGGGCCAAAATTGCTTTCAGTTGCAAACATACAGCTTGCAGGTGTGGGCAGAGTTTAGCCTAAAATAACTGGAGGGAAAAGAAGGGAAAAGGCAGCTTAAAAATGTGATGTCAGCAGGAGAAAATAGACTCTGTGGGGCACTGGTTTTCTACAGCCTTGTTCTGTAATCAACACAGCTCATTACTGTAGCTGCATGCAACGCTGCAAATAGCATTTGGATGAACACATTTTGTCTTTCCACCACACTTGCTAGTTAACAAATTGTCTGCCCAAACTGCTGAACCATGAGTATTGTGTCAAAGAAGACGAAAGCAGCAGATTCCCTTTGTCAGGGTGGACAGGCTGTACCAAACTCCCAGTCACTGATTTCCAACCTTCTTCTGTTTAGACCCCTAGGAATTCTGCTGTGGAGGTACAGGACTTTGTATAGGTGCTTGATCCCCCTGCAGTGATAATCATATTGCTTTCTTTTCCCTCAGTCTACAGTGTACACCTGAGCCTGAGGTCTGCAGACCACAGCTTGGAAATTGGTTTCCCAAGCAAAGGTACTGGTTCACTTCATTCTTTTTTAAACAAAAAGTCACTTTCTCATAGTATCTCTGTTGAGTCCATAAATATTACTGATGTTATTATTGCAATACATGGGGCAGTCCATCCTGAAGTCAGGATCACAGAAGGAAGTGACCATGTATCTGAGACCAGCCAGCAGCAGCATGTGACTGCACAGCACAAAGCAAGGCACATCACAAGTTCTGGCTCCCATCCAAATTCACTTTGGAGTCTCATCATGGGATTAAGGTAGGGGGACTTCTATCGCACTTGAGGAGGAGAAAGAAATGAGAAACAGAATGGGGTTATTAATGATATCCCAAAGATAACGGGAAAAGAGGATGGAGATTTAGGGTTTTGAATATCTTTTATTTAATATGTAATTTTTGTGGTTGCCCAGGGGAGCTATGGAGTCTCTGTCATCAGAGATATTCAGAACCTAACTGGACCCAGCCTGCTCTGAATGGCCTGTTAGATGTTGGACAAGATGGTGTCTGGAGCTCCCTTCCAACTGCAGACAATCTGTGATTGTATGGTTCTGAAATGTAAATATTTTCTTCCAGTTTTCTGAGAGAAGAATGATCTGAAAGAACAGAAGTGAAAGTCAACAAAATATTTCCCTTTATCAGCCCAATAGCATTAACTTCTATTAACCTTTCTAACCACTGCCAACCTTGTCAACCTGAGCAATCCCAATATGTCAGTTGGATTTTATCAGCACCAAAGGTAATTCTTCGGCTACCTCTGAGGTTTTCCTCAGTGTGGAAATATGGGGGGCAAGGAAGAAGCACAGATCCACATTCTGTCCCTATGGGGTCGGGATTTGGCAAAACAAACCCAGGACCTAGGACATGTGCTGGGATGTTTTATGCAGATGCAAGTTAATACCTGCATGGGTGAGGAAACTGTGTCATACTCATAGAGAAGTGTGTGGGAATAGGTTTAGTAGCCATGCTGAACAGCTGCTCATATTTAAAAGAAAGACAGGACAAGGGTTTAAATGGAACCTTCACATGAGGCAGGTTAGCCTGTACAAAACTATGTGTGTCTTTGTAGGGCTGGGTTTTAGAAGTCCCGGGCCTCAGGCTCTTTGGCTGTATCCATGAACTGACTCATCACTGCTTCTGTCATTTAAGGCCCTTTGTTACCCAGTACAATTTTCAGCATCAAGTTATGCACCAGCAGATAATACCCAAGAGCAGAACTGGCTAAAAGCACGGGCAAAATAGGCAAATATCTTGCTTAGAGCTTGCTGGGGAACAGCTGATTCCCTCTTCTCTCATTTTATCTGCCTGTGCTCTCCCAAAATTTCACAGACTACTGCTAGCCCTACTCCTCTCTCCCTCTGATTTGTGCCGCAAGATTTAATTTTGCATTTCCAAGGCCATGAAAGGCAGTTATGCCTGACTACTGAGAATCACAGAGCTAGCTCTGGAGACAGGCTGGACCAGCTCAGAAATGAATCTGCTCAGCATCAGGGCTGGCCCAGGGAGGAGGAGGACCATGTACCCAGGGACAGGAGAGGGGGAAGGACACAGCCTGAAACAGGACCTTTCAGTAGTGGTTAGAACCACTCAAACTGATGCTCAGCTTCACCTCTAGACCCATGCTGTTATCTACCTGGAAGCAGTCAGGAGTTAGATAAGACTTTACAAAATTATTTGGAGCTAGTATCAGTAAAGGGCTGAGACTCCTAGACTGTTTTAGGCAGCACTTATCATGGAAGTGCAAGGCTGCAATTCTGAGATTTGATGCTTTGAAATCTGAAGTTCCCTAACCTGGGTGATTCCCATACTTCAGACATCTTTATTTATTTACTTCAGAATTATTCAATGGCCCTTAGTCATGCTCCTGTGGGGTCTGCTCCCTTACTGATGGGCTAGGCAGGGATTTCTCACTCACTATCTATTGCTAACACACAGTGATTCATGCTGTTAAAACACTGCTAAGTGCCAAGAACTGCCTTAATCCAATTTATGGTCTGAAATTCTTATGGCACACATTTCCCAAGTCTGAATTGTATGTGCTAGAGAGGAGACATATAGCAAAAGAAGAAAAGAAAAAAAAGAAAAAAAAAACCCAAAACAAATTAACAACAGGTTGTCTAAGCTAAAACAGCCTTTGCCATCCTGTAGTCTAGTACTGGACTTTTCCAACCAGTAGAGCTATCCATAGATTACTGAGGTTCCACACAGCTCTCCATGTTACCAGATGAATCAGTTTCTATCTGGTAATGAAGTATTACATGTATTAATTTACACAACATGTAAACATGACTAGCTAAGTCCTATCACATGTGTCCCAGAGGTTTATACTGCAATTAGTCAGAGGAAAGTGAAGCAAAAAGAACATTTACAGGCAGAAGAGGAAATGGGCAGGACAAGATGCATAAGTGGAAAGACCTAATATTCCTTCCCCCACCTCAGACAGACGCATATAAATAGTGAGATAGGAGCTCCCCCGCTCACTGACCATCATCATTTGCTGCATCTCTCTGGGACGTGCATCACCCCTGCAGGATGTGGGCAAAGGTACTGTCTTGTTTCCTTGCACTGTAAGATGTGATTCTCTATTTAAGATTTCGTATCCTCACTCCGAATGTTGCAGTTGGTGACCATCACACCATGAGATATGTGGTTCACCTGCTTTAAACTGTTTGTAACTGCTTCCTTGAGATAATCTTAATGCTTCACTGCAAGTGAGAACTTGTTTGTAATGGTGGGTACAATTCTGGTCACCATTGCTAGAGAAAGAGGAATGCAGTGTGAGCAGCACAATGAAAATATATGAGCATGGTAGGGGTGAGTCCATATTGTAGAGGAGAGAGCAGCACAGTCTGTTTTGTTTATCTCAGCAAAGTCAAGGCCAAAAGGCAGTACCAACACCCTGTGTGGATGTGTGCAGGGGAGAAAGAAAGGGGAATGAAGAGGGGAAATGAAAGGAGATAATTTGCAAAGAGAGAGAAGATTAATATTCACTACTGCCAGTATAAAAAAGAAATTGTGTGTATAGACTGGTTGTAAATAATGTGTACCTCTACAGCAGGACATTTCTAATGGTCCAGGAAGGAAAGTTTTAGATAATTTTCTAATACAGATACTAACAGCAGCTCACAGCCAAGAAACAGGTTGAATTTGCATAATGGGTCATTGCTCAATAGGAGAGGAAAATAAATATATATAATTCCCAGATCAGCAGGATCCAGGAACAAGGAGCTACCGCTTTTCAAAGAGGCAAGATCTTGTCTTGGAGAAAAGCTGGGACTCCAGCTGAGAGTGAATTCAATGGGAGCTGGGAGCTGCCAACTCCTGCCTCCTACTGAGCTCCAAGCTCAGCAAGATTTGGGATAGTAAGGCTGCCAATCAGGGAGATTAAATCTTGCCTTCTTGTGTGGTAGTGGGTGCACTGGATTGAAATGCTACTCTCCCACTGATTTCAATACCAACAAGTAGGTGCCATGGGAAAAACAGATGTTTTTACTTCTACTTGGGAGATGTGTTTGTGTGAATAGTCATTAGAGATGGAGATGAGATGGGGATGAGATAGATAGAGATGATAGAGATAATCTTGCATAGTTATAGCACCTGCAGTGCATACTTTCAAGGGCTCAGGGAGAAAGCAGAAGAAATACAGAATAGAAAAGGATAATGATGAAAGCATAAGTAAAATATAAATAACATAGTGACATTTCTGGGAATAAAAAGAGGAAGGGTTCAGACCTTGGTTTTTCTGATGCAATCCATATAAGCAGGGGCAGAAATGGCCAGTGTGCTAGAAACTGAAAGGAAAAAAAGAGGAAAGAAAAAAAAAAAAGGAAAGAAAATAAAGTGATTACTTTAAATACAGAGAAATATCTACTTCTTCTTTTTCTTTATTTTTTCCCTTCCCAGACAGTTACAGGAAATTTTGCCAAGGTGATTCATGGTTTGAATGCAAATCAGTTGACAGATCAAGTAATTCAGAGAAGTAAGCGAATGATTCTGGATACTCTTGGAGTAGGGCTTCTGGGTACCAGCACTGAGGTCTGCCACAGAGTGGCACAGTACAGCAAGGTAAGCTGTCTGGCATTCATAGCACACCCTAAAGTTTAGCTTTAAGAAAGCAAGGGAAAACTTGGGCAATGAAAATGAAATTTTGCCATGGTGAAATTCTTTCATGGATGGAAAGAGAGAAATTGTGTTCTTCCCACTGGAGACAGTGAAACTTCAGTGCTCAAATTACTTTTCACTCTGGATGGGCAAAAGTCTGTGTATCAGTCTGTATGCTAAGATCCCCCTCTACAAACACAGTTAACTAAGAACCCCTTCCTTTCTTTCACCTATGATATCTTATTAAAAACACCAACAAAGTAAGCATCACTTATCACCAGCCTTTCAAATCAAGGAACTGTTAAAGAGATGGGGAGTTAGCAGTGGGTTACTTGCAGTCCATAAAACATAATTGTCTGAGGTGCATTAGCCATGCTTCTCCTCCAGTCTTACTCTCCTCAAACTAGCGGAGTAATTGACCCTGAAAAGAAGCATTCCCAGCACAGGAGTGCATCCATGAGGAGGAGTTCAACCCACTGGTTTATCTTTCAGACCTGCCTGGGTGGACTTGTGCTCCAGAGCTCTGTGTGCCAGTTAGTCTCTTCCCACAGAGAAATCCCCTTTCCAAACCAGGGTAGTTTGTGTCCTTTTATTCAGTTTGCAGAACCAGGAGGCCATCTATCGTTTACTCAGGGTCTTACTAAAACACAGAAAACAAAACCCTTAATGAGACATCTTTCCCAACAAGATGATGACAGTCTCATCATCATTTAGACTGGGCTTGATGCTCTCAGAGGTTTTTTCCAACCCAGCTGGTTCTGTGATTCTGTCAGTGGGTGCTGAGAAGGGGCATCAGTGGCCAGAGGTTGTGTGAAGGTACTGAGTAGCCAGGTGGGTGGTGTTGGTCTGCTCCCAGCTCTGTTTGGGTGGAACAGGACATAAGCTGACAGGAAACTGACTTCCTTTTCAGACTTTCTGAAAGAACAATATTTTTCTCATAAAAGGGAGCAGTTAGGTCCCCAGAGGACATTGTCTGCTCTCAGTTACATCAGAAATACAATGCACATTTATCCTTAGGTTCAGGACTTCGAATTAATTTATGTCAATTTGTTTCAGATCTACAGCTCAGATTTATCCAGTACCATCTGGGGCCACTTGGATTTCCGACTGCCTCCTCTGTATGCAGCTTTTGTGAATGGAGTGGCTGTAAGGGATGCTCTTTTATTTGCTCTGAAATCATAAAAATTGATGCCATTCTTACTCTATAGAGAACAGAATGTCCTAAAAATCATAGCGTATTCTGAAGCCTGCTACAAAACTTTTCTAGACTATTCTCCTAATATGCTTCAACTTCCTTCCAGTGAGACTGAACTTAAGGTACAATATATGTATGATCCAACTCAACAGCATCCCTTACATTTAATGTGGGACCTGGTGCTGTTGTTAAGTGTCAGAACTCTACAGCTTACAACCTGGCAACCTTGTAGCAAGGCTACAACCTTGCTGTAGCTGCTAAAAAACACACCCTCCAGCTCTAGCTCATTTCACTGGGATCCAAATTTCTTGCCAACTGGCAAAGTACAGTTACAGAAAAACACAGATGCAAGTATAGATACATGCACAGATAATATCACAAGGCAACTTAATCTTCAGTTACACAGTTTCCAAAAGCCAGTGATATATTTTGGACATGCACTTTGTCATTAAAGCAATAACTGACTCCCCAAACATTTGTCTAAATTCAGATTGAGGCTGAAACCGTTTGAAATTGAAAGATGCACAAGAGGTGGGGTAGACAAATTTGGCAATTATGCAAAACTAGGAAAGGTGATGAACCAAGGAAATAGTAATATTAAGCCTGTTTAAATTAGTGTGACAACAATATCAGAGGTCCAATTTAACAGCTCATTTCCAATGTAGAGAAAATTACCTTGGAAATGAGATCTGGTACCACTCAGGTCCTAGCAGCCCTTACGACATTCAGATCTGGCTGTTAGCATATATATGATCAGTTCACATCTCGGTCACAGGTCAATTTAAGCACTTACTGAAGACACCAGAAACAAAGCTTACAGGGTATTGGCCACAACTTTCCTTATCCTGCACTGCAGGGCATCTTCCCAGTTGGCGTCAAAAGTCTTCTAAGCAAACACTGTATTTTCTTCTATCTGTTTAGAACCAGTCCTCAAAAATAATCACAGTATTAAAGGGCAAAACCTGACTTCTGGGGAGCCTGATCACTTTCCCAGTTTGCTCTGAAGTTAAGACATGGGTGAACAGATGTGAAAGTTCAGGTTTTCAAGGTGTTTTACTATACTATATATTTTTTTAAAAATGCTGTCCCTGATGCTCTCACGTCTTTGGGGGTTCTCAAAACTTTGCAGGAGGAAGGAATGTGCCAGATAAGCAGTGCATTACAGACTCTGACTGCACTGTTGGGGACCGTCTGCTGCCAGATCAGCAGCCAAATGCCATGCTGGGGACACCCAAAATCTTCCTGGACAGCTGGGCTCTGGGCATGGGAAAGAGAAGGCACCACTTAGAATACTCTCTTAAGCCAAGCAGCTCGTTCTGCATTCAGACTGCAGCTTTCTCCTACTCCCATCAACTCCAGGGAATCCGGTTTCTTGTGTGACAGGTCTTGTTTCAAAGTGCTGAAAATTCAGGCTAAAGCCTCCTGTACATTTGCAGGGTTATGCCTCTTGGCAGTGGATGGTTGCAGCAGAGAAATAGCTCTGATGACATAAATTCCATTTAGCAGTATGTAACTGCTACAGTTTTATGGTGCGAATCCTAATGGCAGCATCAGTTGCAGCACCGGCGAAGTAATTTCATTGTGTTTATATTTCATTATGTTTTGGGGAAAGTGAAAATTCAGTGTTCATATAGTGGACCTAGAACAGCTGCTTTAACTATACCAGTCTAATTAAAGTAGCAAAAGCCAAGTGCAGAAAAAAAGAAACACTGTCACACTGATTTCAGGCTGGTACAAGTTGAATTAGAATTATTCTCTTTTGAAGCAAGATCTCTGCTGCATTGCCACTTCTCAGACAGCCATGTTGGGAGTAAAAGTCTTTAAAAGACTTTTGAAATTTTTGCCTTCTAAGGAAGATCTAGTTCTTTGGTACTTTTTTGTACTATTTACAGTAGTTTCATTTGACTGAGGCAAACTTGCAAAGTCAGTTTATTTCTTACATACCAATGCTTCTCTTTCCATTAGGTGCACTCGATGGACTTTGATGACACCTGGCATCCAGCCACACACCCATCCGGGGCTGTGCTCCCTGCAGTGATTGCACTCTCAGAGGCCTTCCCTCAGAAGAAAAAAATCTCGGGTCTTGATCTGCTCTTAGCTTTCAATGTGGGAATCGAAGTGCAAGGCAGGTTGCTGCACTTCTCCAGAGAAGCCAGGAATATTCCAAGGAGGTACATAGAAATGTTTAAAGTAGAAGGTGGAATAGAGGTGGTTTTTAATCCGTGCTAATATACATAATTAAATGTCAGTTAACATACAGGTGGCACAGTTATTCATATTTCCTAGCGGTTTGTCTGGAAATTTTGGGAAGGCTCATCTTACACATAAATACATTTGATTCCTACCTCTGTAGCTAACAGATTTTTATTTTTTTTAAAGCATTGACTAATGCACAATGAGGCAATTATCTCCCTACTTTGAATTTTATAGATTTATAATAACATATAAATTTAAATAAGAATAAATATAACTTTATATTTGACTATAAAGTTGCTTTAAACTATGAGCAGCACTAATGTTTCAGTTGCTTTCTGGGAAGGACTTACTGCAAGCAGTACTATCCCAGTTTTACTTTTTCCTGGAGAAAAGTGACAACTCTCAGGCCCACATAGGAATGCTGAATGTGTGTTTCTTTATGGTCCAATCCATTTCCCATGGCAATGAATGAAAAGCTTTTGTAGATTGTGAATTTGGGTGAATTTTTGAAATCTGGTAATGAAGATAGTTTTGTTTTCTCAGGTTTCACCCACCGGCTGTGGTTGGTACGATGGGGTGTGCAGCAGCTTGTGCTAAACTGCTAGCTCTTGACCAGCTGGAATGTAAAAATGCCTTGGCTATTGCTGCCTCCTATGCAGGTGCCCCACTGGCTAATGCAGCAACCCAAATAAAGCCCCTCCATGTTGGGAATGCTGCCAAGCACGGACTGGAAGCAGCTTGCTTAGCTTTACAGGGCCTTCAAGGAAACAAACAGATCTTGGACATGGAGTCAGGGATGGGTGCCTTTTATACAGATTACAACCCACAGACTCTGCCAACCCTGCAGTCCTACCCCTGGCTCTTGGACCAGCAAGATGTGGCCATCAAATGCTTTCCTGCTCATCTTGCAACACACTGGGTAGCTGATGCAGCATCTTCTGTTAGGAGGAAGCTCATAGAGAGCAGTGAGAACTTGCTCCCCCTTGATAAAATTGAGAAAGTCATTCTCAAAGTCCCTGAGGTCAAATACGTGAACAGACCCAGCCCAGCCTCAGAGCATGAAGCACGACACTCCTTCCAGTTTGTTGCGTGCTCGGCTTTGCTGGACGGCAGCATGTCAGTCCGGTCCTTCGCCAGTGAGAACATTCACCGCCCGGCCTTGCGGGAGCTCCTCTGCAAAACACAGCTGGAGCACCCTCCTGACAACACCCCCAGCTTCGACAGCCTTTACTGCGAAGTGAGCGTCACGCTCCGGGATGGCAACACCATCAGCGACCGCTGCACCACCTTCTACGGGCACTGGAGGAAACCTCTGGAAAAGGAAGACTTGGAGAAAAAGTTTCAATCCAATGCGCACGGCATCCTGCCCACAGAAGCCATGGAAGGCATTATAGAGACCGTGTACAACCTGGAAAAAGTAGAGGACTGTTCCGTATTAAGTACATTTCTATCAGGACAGTCTGGTAGAGCACGTCCAGAGAAGCTGCGCTTTCTTTGAGTGCTCCAGCCCACAGCTACATGCTCTTCACAAACCAGTGCAAAATTCAGGACAAGCTCTTACTTAGTGACTCGAGCACTTTTAAATAAGGTTCTGTAACACAAGAACCATATTCAGTCCAATATTGTGGGTTTTGATAGGTAAATAATTTGGTGTTAATGTGCCCAGCTTAGCCAGGCTGAACAGAAGATCCTCTGCTGGCACAGCTGACTCCAGCTATCTTTGTACCTCTAGAGGCAGAGCACTCACTGCTGGCTCATGGCACAAAAATCTCCCTGCTCCTCTGCCAAAAATTTGTGATTCTGCTTCCAAATTCTGGAAGAGTATGGAAGAGCTGTGTCCTTGAAAATCATCATGGTTAGAAGTACAGAGAATGAAAACCTTTTCATAATTATTTCTGTAGACTTATCTCTACAACCTCCTTGAAGAGGGAACCTGTTACGTCTGAGCGCAGACATTTGTGCTAAAATAAACACAGCACACGAAGGGAGGGGTAGCACTGGATACTCTGCAGCATGTCAGCTGTCACTGTAGCCATTGCTCTTGCACTGAGGCAGCAAAGGCCTGGGCCTGGCCTGATCACACCAGTGCTGAGCATGTGGGACAGCTCCACACTCCTCATCACAAAGGCATTATTGCCCAGTTCCACCTGTTGGCTCCTCTGTGGCACAGGTCTGTTCCTGTTTTACTCCTGCCCCAGTCACACGAGACACTGAGCAGGTGATGTCAGTGCAGGTTACTTCAGGCCCAGCAGGGTGTGGGCTACGCTACACTGGGCAGGAGTGACAGAGACCTGTGAGTACCAGAGCACTTCTTACGAGAGACAACTCAGTGCCCACAGTGAACCCAGATAATAAATTCTGGGAATTTTTTGTTCCTCCAGCCTTGCCAGACTGAGCTTCTAAGAGAAGCTGCCAACCCTTGTTCACATTTATAAGATCAAAGCATGGTTTCTAATACATATAAAATCGTCTTCCTCAGGGCACTAAACAATGTATGCAAAAAAAATTACAAAATAAATCTAATTAATTTTACTAAATAAATCTGAAATTACTTTATTTATTAGCAAAAAACTTGTGCATTTTCCACCTGCAATGCATTCATTTGTGCTGCATCTTGGTTTATAAAGTTGGTTTAGCTAGGGGCTCTGCAAAAATTTCAGAAGTCCATCAGTAATACTTGCTTAAAGACTTTCAAGGGGAAAAGAAGAACCCAAATAACCACATTCTTTTATTTTCCCCTTCTGATTAGAAATCAGAATTGAATTATTCACCTATACTGATGGTAAACAAACTCATTTACAGCTACTTCACTTAATTGCAGCTGGGTAACAGCAAATATGAATTACTGATAACCATGAATGATGTGATAAAACCCCATTGTCCATTCAGTTGTTTTAAGACTGAATACATTTGGATTCATTAAAAAAAACCCAAAACAAAACAAAAACAAAGGGACTCCCCCCATCATCTTCAATATATGGTTTCTATTTTAAAAGAGAAATAAATAGGTAAAATTCAGCACTAACCATCTGATGTATTAAACATTAAAAAACACCCCACCACACCAAACAAACCAGGAACTGTGAAGTTTAGCAGTTGCATTATTTTATTAATTCAATCTAAGGAAGCTAAATATTTATGCTTAGCTACACTGATTTCCTTGGAGAAGTCTGTAAACTTCTAGTCAGGCAAGCTTCAGGACTTCTTGTACCATTGTTCCAATTCCATCAAAGATTTCATGCAGAGGAGCCTTGCACATGAAAGCACAGGTAGTAACTATTTTATTGGCTTTATCCACGTGGGATTCATTTACATTTTTGCAAATGTGCTTACATCCAAGCTCTGCTATAGCAGATGCTGTTTCAGCATCAGGAAATCTGTAAATAAGAAGACTTTAATTAACACAAAGCAAAGATACAGCCATAAAATTCTGCACACGTAACTTGAATGAGAGAACTACAACAATATCTACGTGAGTGTTTAACTGATGATGACAAGGGAGTTAGAGGCTGCTACTATCAGATTTTCCTATCCCCTCCAGACACATCAAGCGATCTAATACCTTTGAAAACAAGGTCTGAAATATGGAGCCACAGTATGTCAGAAGGTACAATAGCTTTTAACAATCTTTCCATAAGTTTGGAAGATTATACCAAGTGCAGCTGTAACTGATCTTTAAAAGCTTGAGAGAAGCCAGCTGAACTTGCAACCTTTTCCAACACCTCCATGTAAGGTGCTCCTCTGGGATCTCTAGAGATTTAAATTTTTTTTTTCACCTCTTGATAAGGAAGGAACAGATGCAATCTGTTCTGAACAGAATCCCCCACTACCGCTGCTGATAAATTTAATTCAGAAGTTTTATTGAGAGTTGACAGTTTTTGAAGCAGTACTGATTTCTGCCAGGCCCTGTTCTCATCTCCCACCCCTGAAGTGGCCCCAAACCACTAACACCAGAAAAACTTCATTAAAAATCCCTGAGTTAACAGTTGGACTTGCCTGTCCTAGAGGACTTTTCCAACCTAAACAATTCTAAGATATCACAGATCAGTGTATATCTGGTTGTAGCATCACAAGTCACCCGACCTCATGGATTCATTCTGTCTGCCCTGAGAGTTCTGTGCCTGCTACTATTATTCTAGTGAAAACTGTCACTAATTTTTCTTACAAGTAACTAAGTTCCCCCAGCTTTACTGGTACCAAAGAAACTTTTGCACAGAAGCCTGTCCATTTCCTAACCTTAATTCCAAGGAAAATCCTCACCATCCATTTCCTTCTTACCTTCCATCTACATTTTTATCCTGACCGACCGTAACCTCGCAACCGGGAAAGACTTTGGCTGCCAGAACTGGTGATATACAGCACAAACCAATGGGCTTTTTAGCACTGTGGAAGGCCTGGAGTGTGGAGTTCACGTGCTCGTTGACAGTACAGTCCTTGCCATCTACAGCCCACGAACACAGATTCTTTGCTACACCAAAACCACCTAAAAAAAACCCAAACCAAAACAAAAAAGCTCAAATATAAGGCACTGCTAAAAGCTATTAAATTTGATACTGAACAGAAGCTCTTTTTTACAACATCATCTTGGTATCCATGGGACTGTTAAGTAACTGTAAGCCTTACAATGTCACTGTAACCTGTAAACAATGGGTTTACAATGTTAAAAGTCTAACTGGGCACTTTTTTATACCATGCCTGCAGGTTATACTTAGGCCAGAAAGCTTAACCTTGTTTCAAAAAAGTAACAAATAGACAAACAGGAAACCTCACATTAGTCTGGTAGTTACTAGAACAGCTGTACCATCAGCTGTGAACTCCTCAGTATGGAAGAGGGACCAGAAGACCACTACTAGTTAAAAGCACAAGTATGGAATTCATGGGAGTAATGCAAACAGTGATTTGACCCTCTATAGTAATGAACTCTCAAGTTTTACTTTGATGCTTAAGCAATTACAGAAGAGCTTTTCTTCTTCCGTAGAACTACTTTTCAACTTTTTAAAAAAAAAAAAAAAAAAAGCGATTAACACAATAAAAAACCACCGGGGATATTACATAAAATGGACATTATAACATATGGTACTCTAAGACAAAAAAAACTTGTACATGGTAACATAATTTCCTATTAAAATAGTGCTGATTTGTATTTCTATAAATTAGTTTTAACAATCCTTTAGGTACATTTAATCTTCATTTAATTGTATAAGCAGATTGTATTTTACAGCTCCTTTGTCTCCTGGATTTATAACCATCAGAATAATCAAAGTAAGGTTCTTCCACATGGAATGTGCAGAGCATCAACTTTTCTCCAATAAGCATAAGGAAATTTCCACAAGTACTTCAACAGACAACATCAAGAAGCTTTGCATTTTTAATGTTTCTCCTTTCCCAGTTTGCTCACTTTCAAGTATTATCTGAAATCTCTGAGGTAAGATTTTAATTTTCAAACTAAATAGGGTTTATTTCCCTCTAACAGTTATTACAGCAATCCCCCCGAGCCTGGGTTATAGCAGCATGAAATTAATGTGGAAAACATCTGTGAGCCTCCACTCGCTCCTGATCAGCCCTGACATCAACTACTCACAGCGCAGGCAGAATTGTTTCTGTGTGTTATACACACACTCCCTCTGCTGGCCTTACCACAGTGTGACAACGTCAAAATTAACACTTAGGCCTCATCATGAAGGCAGTATTTAACAGTGCTATGAATATTCTGGAAACAGATCTTCAGCAAGTCATGATTTCCTCGTGATGCTCCGGCTTCTTCATTTCTAAAAATGGTTACAATTACCTCTGTCTGGAATGAAATTTTGTGGTCTCTAAGTGAAAAATTATCCATAAACTTGTTTAGTACAACTTGATCAGCAGTTGAGTGGATACATAATTAAAACAGAATGTACTCCCATCTGACATGGAACATCATCTATTTGGAAACCAGCTATTCTGCCAACATCTTCAGAGGCCCTGAAATTAAGGCATTGCCATGTAACTGAGTTCTCACCCAGCTTTTGTACTCTGGTCAGGATTCTTGTCCACACGTAAGTAGTGAAGTTTTCACAACATTCCGTAAGAAGGGATGGTGGAATGCACAATTTAATACCAAAAGAACACTCTGGCATTTTAACTTAGTTAACTATGAATCAATAAATATGTCGAGTTTTAAAATCACAATTTTCTTTTGAAAGATGAGCTCAGATGGTCAGAGCATGGTGCTAATAACACCAAGGTTGTGGGCTCAACCCCTGTGTGGGCCATAGACTTAAGAGTTGGACTCAGTTCATCCTGGTGGGCCTTCCAACACAGAGTGTTTTGTGATTTTGTGATACCTACCAGGGAAAATGACAGCATCAAATTCACTAGCTTTCAGTTCAGCCAAATCCTGAATGTTTCCCCTTGCCAACCGGGCACTTTCAACTAACACATTTCTCTTCTCTTCTGCTGGACTTCCTTTTAGGTGATTGACTACATCCCTTTGCTCAATATTAGGGGCAAATATCTTCA